GTGTGTGTGTGTGTGTGTGTGTGTGTGTGTGTGTGTGTGTGTGTGTGTGTGTGTGTGTGTGTGTGTTTGTTTGTTTGTTTGTTTGTGCATGGTATGGTCTGGGAAGCTTTTTTTTTTTGTTTGTTTGAAGTTAAGCACAAAGCTACACAATGGGCTACCTGTGCTCTGCCCACCATGGGTATTGAAACCCAAATTCTAGCATTGCAAGTCTGCAGACATACCGCTGTGCCACTGGGAGGCAGTCTAGGAAGCAACATTCATTAACTTTGAGCTGGTATTGTTAATTAATTTTATAATTTCCATAACTTAATATCAAACAAGCATATTTTGTAGTTTATCTATGATCAAGACACACAGTATTATTGTACAGTGACCAGATTTTCTGGAGTCCAAAGAGGGACACCTAACTGATGAATAAAAAATGGTTCCATTAAAAAATTAAAACTTCTTTCATATAAAATGCATACCATCTTATCATTATACTTTTCATTAGATATTATTTTCTTTAATAAATCAGGAATGCATTTTGGAAACATGCAATAAAAAAGATAACATTCATGAAAAATACACACACCATCATACCCCAAGATGAACAATAAATGCAGCCTGGCTAACTAATGAATGAATATTTGCTGTAAAATTCCTAACAATGCTATAAGTGAAGCAGTTTGGCTTCCAATTTTGATTTCCTTCTTTTAAGCTGCATGCTCAACCCGGTTTTCGCTACACCTTTTTTTTCACACCTAAGGTGGTATTGATTAGATCTGTATATAGAGGAAGGTTAAAACAAGTTTTATACCTCTTTTTGTCCTGTACTCTCTCCTTCAACACCCAGTACTTGCAAATCTTCCATTTCCACTCTTTCTCCTACCATATCTCCACTATACTGGACCTCTGTATCTGTTTCTCCAATCTCTACGCTACTTTCTGATGAGATTGAAGAACTTGAATGTGCTTTATGTGCTAGATTTGTGTCCCTATCACTGTAAGCCTCCAGGGGTCTTGGATCAGCCTTAAAGAAAAATGTATAATTTGTGCAAATAATGTGCAAATCAAATGTCACACAAAAATGTATATTATACTAATAGTATAGAAAAATCTTAGAAAACCTTTATATCATAATTAAAATAAGAACAGAGTAGAAACCAAATATAGCATGATGCAAAGAATAACAATATACATTTAATACTAAGAGATTTAGAAATATCATAAGTACAACAGTTCTTATTTGATGTGTAAACATTCCTTATTTCAGAAGATTTAACAAAAAGTAAGAATTAAACATTTTTCTTGTATAATAAGCACTTCAACCACATTTATACAAGATGAGCCATGTGGATCTGTCACTCATATAATTCTATGTATACATATTTATAAACATATGGAAAACAAAATCACAAAATAAATAAAATAGTAAGTCCAAAACAATGGACCAATAGGAGTAACAGGCTTGGTACTCTAGCAGCTTGAAGGTAGCCCTGTATAACTTTAGCTTTGGAATTAGAACACCACTAATATTACATTGTTCAAATGATTAAAATGTGAAAAATTAACAGCAAAAGATGCTTTGGGTTAAATAGTTCCATAATTATTTCTAGGATTTGAGGAGGGGAAAAAATTTATATACAAGTTAGAAGTTTAAAAAAATTCTGTAAAATGAACTTACAATAGAGTAAATCAATTTATGGAACTATTATAATAATGGACTTGATGTAGTAGTGATTTCTGTAAGAGTATACACATACAAAAGACAAAGTGAAGAACATTATCAGACCTTCCAGTGTTAATAAAACCATGCTAAAACTAACAGTTATGTCATATACATACAAATAACTCACTGCAAAATATAAGTAAAATAGGAAAAATGACAAACAAGTATTTTAACATAAACAGTATAATGTATACATAAATTGTATTGTATAGCTACTGCTTCCAAACCAATCAGACACTGAAATACTTGTGACACTAAAGGACCTGGAGGTTAGTGATACAACAGAGTTCACAGATAAAATGCCTGCACTGTATTTTTCTATCCATAACAGTACACCACAAATACTGAGAAGGTTAAATATTTTGTGAAAATTATTATACTAGTATATAAAGCAATACAAAAATTGATAAAGTTATTCTGAAATAAAACATAGTTACTCGAAACTGTCAATCAATTTCACCATCTTACTATTTTATCAAGCCTGTTCAACAAACTGACAGGTTATTGGTTAGTTCATCATTTAATTGTTTAACCTTTATTCTCCTAAAGAAGAATAGTCAACTACTTGAAAGCACTCAAGTTTTGGGTCTCGTTTCAAGATATTCATTTCATATATAAGAAAAGACTTGATCACCACCTAAAAACGCTTGAGCTGAGAGAAATAGGCACTTTTTTCAGCAAGAACTTAAAAACAATATTTAGACAACTTTTTAATCACACTACAGTGCACTACACTACATTACAGAAGTAATTTTCTAACATTAGTATTGACATAAATACAATTTTGACAAATACATTTCTGAAATTAAAAGTTTAACTTAACCATATGCATATGTAAAAACTAATTTCAATCTTATTATTTGTAATCATAATAAAAATTGCTAGCTATTTAAAAATCCTTCCTATTTCTAAGTGGCCTATGTAATTGGCTGTAAAGGTTGGGAATACAGGTTAAAACTCCACTTTATTAATATTAATGGGTTTAAACTATGAAAACTAAAAAAAAAAGAAGATTGATTCTGCACCAGTTTTGTTTTGTGAACTTGTAGGATGCTTTGTCAGATGATGTGATATATATGCTATTAGTTTGAATTATTCTAAAACTGTTGAAAGGTATATGGATGCGAATTAGCAATGAGCAACAATAAAAATTGTTCCCAGAACATTATTGTCATCACAAAAATAATGCAAGTTTCAAACTGATCAGAATAATTTAAAACTTTAGCTAGAAAAAGGGATTTTGTAGCTTTACAATTCAATATATTATGCCTAACCAATTTTAAAATTGTTAATCATGTATCTCGTATGACAGACATGGGCCAAATATTTCATAAAGTGAAAGGTTACAAAGGATGCTGGTTAGGGTTACAAAATGATTCAATTTAATCTAACAAAAGGGTAAAATTTTTAAAACTATTTAGATACATTTTTGTACTTTACATCAAGATGACAGTAATTCAATTTGGAATGATAAACAATTTTCTATTTGAGGATAATGATGTATCAGCCATTGCTAAGGTGAAGAACTATAAACAACTTTTTGTGGGTGAGAGGTTACCTCAGGGGGCCAAAGAGCCTTGATTTTTCTTATGTTCTTACATTATGTGAACTATAACATACATATGTATTCAAATATAAGTACTGTACCAACTTACATTAAAGCTCTAGCATGCCCATAGTACTGATTTCCAATTTTTAAAAATAGCAAGGAAACTGAAAAACTAACTAATTTGTTCTTGTGATTACAAACCTGTAAAGTATCATTTGTTTCTTGTTTATTCTCCACATATTGCTTATCTTCCTCAATTTCTGAGGTGGAACTGGTAGTGGTAACTCTGGTAGTCACTGAGCCATCTGCATCAGTAAATACAGTTATCTGTTTTGTGGCTGAGGACATTATTTGTGGTGGTACATTTTCAGATTCCTGGCAACTTTCAAAATTATCCAATGAATCAGGAGGGATAGAATTTTCTAAATCTGCATCAAAGCCCTGCTGAAAATTTAGTCCTTCCTCAGCAGAATATGTTTTTTCTTTTCTTAGCTCCTCTTCTGGTAAGAAATTATCACCAGGTTCTTGAGATACTGGAGCAAGAGGATCAAACATGTCAAGGTTCACTAAATTCGACGAAGTTTCTACAGTCTGGCTATATTCAACTTTAGTGACTGTTGAATTTGATGTGGTTTCTTTAAATTCAAAACTCAATGGGTCAAAATCCAAGGCCATACCCGCAGCATTATCAGCACCTGGTGACTTGAGAACTGGAGGTGCTTGGGTAACACCATCTCCTACATCCTCCTGGGGATTCATTGTTGACATTTTAACTGGAAAAGATAGAGTAAGTTAAAACTATTTATATAATATTTTAAACATTTTGCAACATATTAAAGTGAATATAAACTCTTATGCAATTATATGTATGAATTCTGAAAAATTTATAAGTCAGTATTGCAGAAACTGGTAGGTGCAGCTCTTATGTAAAAGGTTTGGTAAAAACATCACATCATACTATATATATATACACACACACACACACACACACACATACATGTACCTATATATATATATATATATATATATA